CAATTTTGCCTACGTGTCATGCTCTCATCGCGCATCCTCCTTTATATAATAAGATAGTTATTTATATTGATTATCGCTAAACAATGCTTTCTACCTATACATAGATGTGTGTAAGTGACGCCAAAAACAAAAAAAGATGTGTGTAAGTAAACAAAGTCTTGTTAGGCTAACAAAAAATGACATGAAAACCTAGTGATCGCCAAAGCACATGTAGTGTAGTGGTACTAACCACTCTCTTGGCATCAATAAGGGGTTCGACCCCTCCCTCTCTCCTAAGTGAGAAATATATCGCTAGTGGGCCGGCTTTGTGGCCCACATGACAACCAAAAAACAAAACCTAGTAGTGATCAAGTTTAATAAACACTTCAAGTATCAAAATGAATTCAGAAAAATGTTTGTTAACTTATATACATTCATTTTAAAAAATTGTAATCATCAAAAGAGTAACAGTCAATATATATATATAACATATTTGTAATTATAACCGAGACGGATTCTTCTTTTTGTGTTAATTTAAATGTTCATAACATGTTTTGCTCTAAAAACAACAAACCACATTTTGTAGTTTCCATTATTTTTAGGTATGCCTACGCTAGTTTTTTCATGTTTTTTCAAATGTTTCAACAAATTGTTTTATCTAAACATTCAAACAAAGTAACAAACAATTAATGTCATATCTTTTCTCTACGGCTATCTTTTTTTTTTAAATCTAAATTTTGCTAATAATCAAAATCTTTTAGATTTTTTTTTTATTGACAAATTTTTCATTACGATTAACAACTTTTACATGAGAGTTTTGATCAATTCACAATGTTACAATCTTTATCTTTTAGATAGTTTGGAGCATAGTTTAAATGTTACTATAATAAATATTCCCCACCTCCAAACTAATTATTGTTTAATGGTTTACAAAATCTATTATATAGTGGAAGAGTTTTCTCTCTTCTTAAGGTGTCTACATCATCAATTTGAAGCATTAAAGAAGTAATTACATTAAAATTAAAGTTTAATAGTTCATTATTTTTTTATCTTCTAATTATCGTTTTCTATTAATTACCACACAACATAAAAATTTAAATTTACATAAAACAAAAATTAAAAAATTGTGCAATACAATAAAAATAAATAGATATTAGAAGAACTAAAAAAACAAATTAATACAAAAATTAATATAAATATGGGAAATTGGCATCAATAGCCATAAAAAAAATTATAATTGCCAATTGATATACCCTATATTTTACCACTTTTACTATATATTTTACTATGGTTTTTAAATATATTAATAAAACTTTTCGACCAAAAGAGGTAATTTTCTCGTATTTAAAGATTTTAAGGTCTTAATAGGTTTTATCATCAAAAGAATGTAAAATGGAGCAAAAAGAGTGTTATCTATGATGCAGCTACTCATTCAAATCAAAGGAACCAAGCTCAGTCGTTTTATCTTGAAGATAATGCATATTCTCAAACTGGACAGAACATATATGCCAGAAGTTCGCTGATGAACGGAGGATCAAATAAATTGGGAATTTTTAATGAAACTTGGTATGGAGATAGACCTTTGAGTTAAATTAACAATGGAGTTGGAATTTCATCAATTGGACCTGTACTTTAGAAGATACATTGGAAACACTGAGGACATGTCAAACTGCCTTCGAAGTGAAGTGAGTGCACAAGAAATCCAAGCACCGGGCCGCCCACGGGCCGATGATCCAGACCTTTGCTGACCTTCTAGAAGCGTCATAGAAGCCTCAAATACCGGTCACGCAACCCGACCGGTATTGTGACCGGTATTGCCTCAGTTTCGACCAAAAAGACGTTTTTGCCCGGAGAAGACCTAGCCGACTTAAGCCTCCTTAAACCCCTATATATATACTTTTTTTTAGCCTCTCTAGGAACTTAAGCAGCCGGCCATAACAGCCTAAATCAATACCTAAACATGTATTTCGTTTTTCTCTTGTTCTTAATGCATATTTGGTTCTAAAAGCCTTTAAGGATAGTTTGACTTTGCCCTATTGCGAAGAGATGAGATCTAACTCCTTACGCTTTGTAGATCAACTTTATATTATGTTTATGTGCTTTACTCTTGCTGCTACGTGTTGCAAAACATGTTAGAGTACTAGTTTTGATTTGATTTCTATGCACTTTCTTAATTCTATGTCTTTACATACTTAATCGTTAAGAGTTTTATTCTAGAATTG